ACTGTAGTTATTAATAAAGTTGATTTAGTATCTTGTGCAAAATCTTAGACATTAATTAGAAAATGAAGTCATACATCATAGTGTATAGTTTCTTAATAATCATACCAAGTAAGATTTAATTCATCCTTTTTTATCATTAAGACCTTAGATAGTTCTTACCGGTTTGTATTTCAACTTTATATTTGAAAACATAAACAAAAGTTTCACAATTATGCTTTACCATGTAAAATATAACTGAAACGACAATAGTTATTAATAAAGTTGATTTGGTATCTTGTGCAAAATATTAGACATTAATTAGAAAATGAAGTCATACATCATAGTGTATAGTTTCTTAATAATTATTTTCTCTACTACTTATTGAAAATATTATTAGGAATCTCTCATATATAAATACGATTTACATATGTCAAATAAAATACATTATTTTCCTTTAAGGACCCCTTTCTTGAAGTTGGAATATGTGAATATCATTTTTATAATAAAGATAACAACGTCATAGATGAGTTTGTTTTAAAACAAGTTTAAGTCAAAAGTATTTTGCATATAGAACTTGTTATTTATAAAATATTGATATTTAGTTTATAATTCTTATTAAGAGATCTAGACTGCTAAAAAGAATTTTAATCATTTTCCGAATATGAAGGTGATCGTCATGAAACACGATTTTAATAAATAATCAATCATTCATAAATTAAATTGAGACATATATTTAGGCAAGCTAAATTAAAACATATATTTTTCCAAAACAAACATTGTATTATCTTACAAGTACATTATGTTCCTAGCATAATTAATAAACTAAACTCCGAGAGTGTAGTTCCAACTTGATTGTGCTCAACTGGTTACTCTTTTGTAAATATTTGCAAGCCGATTACAAACATTAGATTAACATTTAAGTAACAAGTACCTAAGTGTTATATGACAAGTATAAGTTCTATCTAGTAGATACATGAAGTACTAATCTCTTCCAAACTTTCTTTCCAGATAAAAAGAGCAGATCTTCTTCCAGTGTCCAGTTTTTCCACAAAAGAAACAAGATCCATCTCTATGGGCCTTATAGAATTTCTTGGGCTTAAAGGTGTTCAGTCCATAAAACATGGGCCTCCTAAATCACACAAGGTGACTCTTTTGGGCCTTGTATTATTCCTAGTTTGATATTAGAAACATCTTTAGCATCACGGTGATACCTTTACTAGGTATCATGTTCAGACTTATTGCTCAAAGAAATAGTTTAGGACTAAAACCTTTAAGTGTATACAATTTCATATCTCTCGTGAGATTGTGTCTTAAGACATGAACCCATTCATTGATGTTGTATCTAGTAAATGTTATTGTTTCATTAAGTCATTAAGAAAAATGACAATTCATGGTAATGAAAAATGGATTATTTAACTACAAAATTTTAACAAAATTCATGTAGTGTTTTCAATATTTAAACTCTTTAATAGTTAATACCCTTTTATTTTCCAAAAACATTAATTATCAAAGTCTAGGATCTAAGTTGACAAATAAATAAATGGTTAGGTATCCTTTATCCCATTCATTTGAAATCAACCCAGTAGATATTGATTATAAATTATATCTTACTATATAATTCCTAGATTTATGGGATCACTAATAACAAATTTGATTAGACATGTTTGATCTAATCTATGCCTCGAAACTCTCTTGCTTAGGTATCCTTTATCACAAAAAATTTCCGATCAAATCATCCAATTTGAAAAGCTTGTGTAATCGGCCTATGACTTGGTTATAGAAATCGCGAACACACCCCGACCATCAAAAGATAGCACTAATCGGTTAGGTATCATTTATCCCACTAGTGCATATAAGAGATGTGCGAGTGCTTTTCAAAAAGGATTGCATAGATTTGAGGTTTGTAAAAATGGTCTTTTATTTGTTTTATAATTCTAGTATTAGAAACATATGATATCATGGTTATTACATGCATATAATAAACCATGGTACCAATTTTCAAAAGAAAATCACTTTTAAAGGCTCTATATAAAAAACTAGTTTTTATATATTTTTGACGCGATTCAATTTTAATAACCGGTATTAAGTTTGAGTGCATTTGAACCTTTTATATCTTTAATAAAACTTCATTTTATTAATTATATATTTGGAGTTTGTATAAGTTATAAAAATCATCATTTTAAAACTTATATTTGAGTATTTCAAAATTTGATGTTATTAACGTTTTTATAAAACCGAATTTTATTTTAAAACTATAACTTGTTACATCTTATGTCCACATTATAAATTTTGAAAACCAAACTCATTGTGATGTTTATTTTGTCTAAAATTATTTTAGCATGTGAAAAACTAATTTATCAACCATATAATAATTGCATAAAATAAACAACAGAAACATGCATAAAATATATGTGCGTAAACATAACCAACTAATAATATTTTTTGTGAGCCAACACAAAAAATGTCATGTCCATTCCTAAAGGGACAGGTTAAGGGACCAAAAAAACTTCTTATAATGTTGTTCTAGAAGCTCCCACTTGAGAAAACACACATTGCTAGCAAAAGATTGGAAAAACTTCTTTAAAGTAATATTTAAGCAATATGCAACATTTTTCAGAAAAGGTTGCATTAGGTCCAACAACTCCAAGGGAAGTTGTCAACAACAACACCTTTTGTAACAGATTGCTGAAAAGGTTGTTTTTGTCACTGCACACCTCTAAACCTCGAAAATTGCCTTCTTGTCTTCAAAAAATGGCTCTAACTTCATTTTTTTGTTACATTTTTGTACAAATAAATTATTTCTAACAATTAATCTATTATTTATAAAAATAAACCAAGAAAACTAATCTATTTAATTTATTACATGCCATATGAATAAAATAAATTATTACAACCATTTTATAAAACAACCAACACAACAACACAACAAGCACAATGGTCATTGGCTAGTTTATGCTCATCATACATATCAACACACACATTAAACAACCTTTGTTTTTCTAATACAACTTTAAATGAAAAAAGATGCATGAAAACTTTTATCACATGAAATAACAATTATAAAGGTGTCATAGAAAATATGTATGAACTTGTTTTTATACAAAACCAAGTTAAACCAAGTTATCCATATTCTCCAAAAACTAAGATTTCCAAAAATCAAAAAATCTAACCAAACTTACAAGGTGGCTCTTGATACCAGTTGTTGGATTTTTTATTCAAAAACTAGTTTCAAAAACATGATATTTGGCAACGGAAGACTTGATCATTTTTTGAATAACATAAAAGTTTGGTAAGAAAACAAGCACCAAAGAAGAAGATGGAGAAAATTACAACCTTTGTAGTTCTTTGGGTCCTCTTGGTAGGCTTGGAATTTGATGAAGAATGGTGAACCTTAGAGACACGAACAAGAAGCCAACTTGATGTAGATGCTAGTCTAAAACTCTTTAACTCTTAAGCTTGAAGTTCATAACCAATATGAATTTCAAGAGAGTATGAATTCAAGTAATATCTTCATGATATGAACCAAAAATGAGAGAGAATGCATATCACAATTCAAATTTCGTTTTTCACTCATAAAAGGCAAGAGAAATGCAAGCCTCGATTCGTAAAGCATAAAGCAAGGTTCTTAACCACAAGGTCTTAAGACTTTTGACCAAACCATGTCCCTATGTCATAAGCATGTCCCAACATGCTTTACTAGATTGATTCCTTTCAATTAAAGAATTAAAAAACCCATGCTCTTCCTTTTGACTCTTATTTTCATAAATAATAAAAGGAAGATGACAAAACTTTTATATTTTATAAAACAAGTTTATAAAAGATAAACTTTAACTTTTTGGTAAAAGAAAAAATAATTTATCTACTCCAAAATGTTGTACATGACTTATTAATTCATACCATAAGAATTATGTAATATTACTTGCTAATGAAAATTATTATTTCCCAGAAATAAATAATTTCCAATTTTAATTATAAGAGATTATTGAATATTTATCAAAATCAATTTATATTAAATAATCAATTATATTAAGTTGTTAGTGTGACCCATTAGTATCATATGTTAATTAACAATATCACTTTAATATGATTCTTGACATACAAGATCTTTCAAGTGGTACATATGATAGTGGGCGGCGTGTGGTAGTTGGTGGTGATATAGTTTGCATTTGACTTCTTTGAATATGGTGAATTAGTGTATAATAATTGTATTAAGTTGTAAATTTTATGTATTAAACTGAAAACGAACTGTATTAAGTTGTGTATTTTATATAAATATTGTGTTAAAATATGAATGAATGTACGCATGAAAATATAATACTGTGAATTAATGAATTAATATGTTTATTAAACAGTGAATATGGTATTTTAAACTATAAATATGTCTTATAAACAATATATATTTTTTAAATAAATCTACAATATATAAGAGAAAAAAATTAATTTGTCAAGGTATAATTCTATTTTTCTTATTAAATTTGACAAAACTACAAGATTGGTCCCTGTGGTATTCAAAAAACTTTGGATAGGGTCCAAAAAGTTTCTAGCTTGCACCAAAGGTCCAAAATCAAGGTTTTTCTAGGTTTTTGGTCTTTGATACACTTGAAAAGTTGATTTTACCCTTTTCATTTCTTTTTTCTATTTTCTTTATTTATTTTGGTATTTAAATAATTAAAAATAAAAAATAAAATCTCTCCCTCTCTCTCTCTCACATACACACACACACAAATATGAATATGAATCTCAAGAACACTCGTTTTTTCCTTAGTTCAAGAACAAGAACATCACATTCACGAAACCCAAAAATCATTTTTTTCGGATCTGATGAACCGCCCTTCACCACCATTTGAATCGATTTCTGTTATGAAACCCAAACCTAAACTTGATCTGAATCTTCTTATCTGAAACTGCTGTCTAAACTTGATCTCAAACATCAGATGAAGATTAGGTACCGATTTGTGTGTGTGTGTGTGTGGGGGGGGGTGGGGTTAAATTATTCCCTAGATGACCAGACAACCATCGAGATGATCAGAGGAGGTAAGGGAAAGGAGAAATAGAGATGGCGACAGATAAGGATTCGAGAGCAAAACCCACGCCCCGAATCACCTATTTCTGCCGCTGTTGGCAGTGAATGTATACCCCTCGTCAATCTCTTTCCACAACCCGATTCAACAAAAAATGAACCATCAATAGGCCTTCCGCTCATGTCCCTACAATTGAACCATCAATAGGCCTTCCGCTCATGTCCCTACAATTGATTTTGGGGTGAATCAGATATTAGATCATCTGGTTGCGAGAAAATGTGAGATTGATTTTTAGGGTTCTTAAGAAAGGGGTGAGAGTTTGACTAGAAACATGTGGAGAGAGAGAGAGAGAGGGAGAGAGAATGAGGATCCAATTTCGCCAATGATTCCATATTTTCAATCGACAATTTTGCAAAACCGACAATACTTGATAGCGTACCTTACGAAAGGAGTTGTGGATGCCTATGTTCCTTACTTCTCAATTTCTTTAAATAATCGAAGGCGAGATGGTTGTTGAATGAGGAGTGTGATGCAGGGCTGAGGAGATAAGAATCAGACCATATACGAATGAGACGGTGGAGTGTGAGGTTTGGGACGACATCGGTGGATCGAAGGACCTGTATGGTGGCGGGACAAGTATTGTGGTTGGAATCGAGCAATTTTTGGATGTTGGCACGGTCATAGGTGAAGAACACACATAAATCGTTTATATATATATATATAATATATATATATATATATATATATATATATATATATATATATATATATAATATTAGAGAGAGAGAGAGGGGGGGGGGGGGGGGGTTGGGTGGGATTTTATTTTTTATTTTAATTATTTAAATACCAAAATAAATAAATAAAATAGAAAAAAGAAATGAAAAGGGTAAAATCGACTTTTCAAGTGTATCAAGGACCAAAAACCTTGATTTTGGACATTCGGTGCAAGTTGGAAACCTTTTGGACCCTATCAATTGCAGTTGTCATTAAATTTTATATATTTGGCTGCAAAAATGAAATGATATGTGTGAAAAAATATTACCAAACAAATAAGAACTAAAATGTTTGTTCTATTAAACTGTGAATACAATCAGAAAATGTTACTAAATTTGGTGTTAGTTTGCCACCGATTCGATGGCAGTCCAACGATGTTCCAATGATTAGGTGGTAGTCGGTCGTAAAGGAGCGAATGGAGAGTTTGTTTTACTTAATATTAATTTTTGATTTATTCAAAATATTCTTAATGAAAAAATTTTAAAAAACTGGTTCCTAAGGTTTCTAACATTTTTTTGTTCTTATTTGAACAAATATATATATATATATATATATATATATATATATATATATATATATATATATATATATAAAAGTTACAAACCCATGCACTGTACGAATAAAATATAAAAAACTGTATACGAGTGAGCTATAAAAAAGTTCAATAAAAAAAATATTACATATAGTTATAAATCTGAAAATAACTCTTGGGATTTATATATTAAATTGTTTGATTTAAATATTATTTTGAATATCTTTAAATCATTATACGAAGAATACTGAGAATAAATTGATATTCAATATTATACTTATTAAATTTAGGGTTTATATAAAATAAATTTAAAAAAATTAAAGAAAATAAGACATTTTATAAAGAATACATGAAAAAAGAATATAGAAATTAAAAATAAATAAAAGATACTAAAAAGATAATATATAGCATGTGCATAAAATATGTAATGTCTCAATAAAAATTTATTTTATTATAATAATGATGATATATAGTTTGAAGTAGGCGGTGTTATTGAGGAAACAATCATCATATTCCATTATCGGCAATACCCTACCTCCTCTCTCATTCCTTAGCCTCTCAGAATTGTTTCTTGGTGAAAATTATTAGAACCCATTGAATTTTCAATACAAATTCAATAATTGAAACACCCCTGTCGTATTGAAGCTCACCCTGGCTTTGGGTATGTTTTCTATCTCTATATTTTATTTTTTCTTTTTTCTTTTTGTGAGATTTTCTTCTATTTCAAGTGGCTCGTTTAAGTATAAAAGAATTCGATTTTTATAGATCTGGCATCTGGATTTCATCTATTTTGCTGGTGTCCTCGTTTTTTTTTTTTTTTTTTGAAGTGTTGAAGTTGAATCTCTTGTGGGTTTTGTTTCGGTTTCAAGAAATTTGCATTTAAATATCAATTTTGAGGAGTGTTTTTTCTTCACCAAATTGAACATGTTTTGAGCTAAAACTCATCATTTGTGTTTCGGATCTTACCATTTAAATCAATAATCAAAAACCCAATTAAGTAGTCAGGTCAATCTTTCTTCCCCTCTTTGGTGTTCAACATTTTTCTTAAATTGATGCAATTATTGAAATCAACAGATTGTGTTCATGTCTTCAAGAAGTATTAGGGTTTCAATTTGACAATTTTTAACATCGTTTTCAAACAAGTTTCTGATTTCGATTTTAATGTTTCCAGGTTTAAAACCGACAAAATGGGTTTATCGCCGTACCCAACCCCATCCGACGCCGGTGTCCTCTGCGTGATTCTGGTGAACACCGCCATGTCAATATCAATCATGAAGGAAATAGTCCGATCAATCCTTCACGTCATCGGAATCCATGTCACCTCATGGGAAGACTACTCCAATCAATCGATAACAGAATCAGTCGAACGTAGTAGAGGAACCCCATCGGAAACTTACATGGAGGAGTTTAGAAGCCGGACGCCGTCGCTCCTTTACGACTCTCTCACCATAAGTTGCCGGAGTAAAGAAGAATGCTCCGTTTGCTTGGTGGAGTTCAACCCAGATTCAGAAATCAATCGCCTTTCATGTGGCCATGTTTTCCATAAATCTTGTGTTGAAAAATGGTTAAAATACTGGAACATCACTTGCCCACTTTGCCGAAACCACATGATGATGCCAAAAGAAGAAGAAAACACTTGCCCGATGTAAGTTGTCTTTTTTTTTTTTTTTTTGGGTGATTTTTAGTGCACAAGTACAGTTGGTGATGATGACTTTGCGAATTTGCCTGTTTTTGTATATATACATGATAGATATATATAAACTGTGTAAGGTTTCCGGTGTTGTGTGCACCTGAGAAACTCTTAGTTTTTTTTTTTTTTTTTTGGGTTTTGTTTTGGGTTTGGATTAGAAAAGAAGTGATCTTTCTTAATTTTGTGGTTAGTTTCTTATAATCCGATTGTATTTACTGATTCCTAACTAGATTACTACACATTGAGATAACATTTGAAGACCTAAAATGAGCAAAAGAAGTTGCGTTTAACATGAGACAAAATGTCTGACAAAAATATCTTAGTGTTTGGTAGATTGGTTGGACGGGATGTGATTGGACCGAACATTGTACAACGTTTGGTAAGAGAACAAGTTGTTAAAATTACCATATTGCCTTTTTACAAATACAAGTAGTTAAAATTACCATATTGTCCTTTACAAATACTGTCAGTAAGAACTTAATCTAACATACCTAACTTCAGAATTAACAAAGTTTTTCTTGTGAGCTCACAAACTAATGGTTCTGTTAAACTTTAAGAAATATATGGTCAATATATTATTGATACCAAAATTCCAAAAATATTTAATTTTGAAATGTAAAGACAAAACAATTGACTTGTAGTTAGTGGTTGCACCAAAACCCCCGTGTAGTTGGACTAAATTGCACGTTACGTTTGCTTTATTGTTGACTAATAAGTCTCACCTAATCTCCCCGGTGTATAATTCATTACAAGAGTGTGTTTGGTTTGGTTAAGCTTATGAAAAATCATAAGATTTTTTAAATTATATTTTATAAAATTATATTTTATAAGCTGATAAGTTACTTATGTATTTTGACTTATTAAAGGTATGACACCTTAATAAGTTATTCATATACAAACATCATTTTTAGCTTATATCAGTGTGGAAGTCCGGTGATAAGTTAAAAAAGAGTTTAGGAAGTCCGGAAATAAGTTAAAAAAGAGTTTAGATAAGCTTAGCCAAACACCCCTAAAAATATGGTAATTTTTTTGACAAAAGAAATACACTAACACTACAAATACAATGGCTCTATTACAGATTCTGTTTTTGAAGTCATTTTCGTTGTTGTCATCTTTACATTTGTTTCCTTCAAGCTTCTGACCACTTGATTAATACGCAAAGATATGTAATCTAACTTTTAAGAATTCATGATCGTTGTCTCAATTTATACGTTATGTTTCTAATTTGTAGTTGTAAGTTATATAAAATGTTAAGGATATTTTTTTTATTTTATTTTTTCTAATTTATTGTCAAAATTATGTTTCTAGTTTGTAAATATTAATGTAATTTATCATAATGTTGGTTACTATAACTAGTTGACATTAGTAACTAGTAACTTTTTTTAACGGCACATCTAATCTGCTCTTAAACTACTTTTTAATTTCACTTATGTCCAGGACATGATTTGAACTCTCAACCTCAAAGAGAGATGACAACATCTGTTACTATTGGGCTAGAAGCCCTTTGGTAGATAGTGGGGGTGTTCGGTACGGAGCGTTTAAGAGCTTTTAGCTTCTAATGTTTGACAAAACGCTATGTTTTAAATAGAAAGTCTCGTTTGACAATACACGCTTCAGCGTTTAATTTAAACAAAACACTTCAAATTCAAATGCTACTTCACGTAGCGTTTAACAAAACGCTACCAACTATAAACTACTCACTACCCGCCACAAGCTACCCGCTACCGGCTAGTTTTGTCGAACACACCCGGTAACTAATCTATCCTCTTACCTAACAGGCAAAGATTTGCCTTCGTGGAAAGGATGATTCATTCGGATCAACATGAGAGTCTATATTGCATATAGAAATGTTCTAATTGAACAATGAAAAAAAAGAACATAAATTGAAACCAAATTGTCAATCTCATAAACCGAAGAAACGGAGGAAAATAGACTACGATGTTGTCTATTTCTTTAAAGATTGTTTTTTTATGATAAATTAAATTATTTGGTAGGAGACCGAAACTTTTTTTTTTTGCAGGTCTAATTAGTTATGAGTTTAGTATCATCATATCTTTTTAGACCTTTTTAGTGTAATTGGAATATACATGAGTGAGTGTGAAGTAGGAGATTTTGATCTAATACAAATCAAGCCATGCACAAAAAAAAATAAAAAAATAAAAAAGAACACTTTCATTAGATGAATTTGATCCTGATCATGTAAAATGGCGAGGGTTAAAGGAATCACACCTAGAGTTGAATATTTCTAGAATCTGATCTAGACCGGATTTATGACGTCACCAAAAGGAATGGTTTTACAAAAATTGGATCTGATTGGATTTAGATATAGAGAAAAGGATATAGGTCCATCCCAACCGATTATAAGGAGATTCTATTTCACATCTCCAAATACTATCATTGTATGGTTTGATTTTCAAGAAAAAAAATGCAACAAATATTTATACTTTAACACTTACGTGTTGTTTGTTTTTTGTCTGCAGATCTTCTTAACATCTTCTGTCTTCGCCGCGCAGATCACGTGCAGACATTAGGCTTCGCAGACTTTTTTTTTTTTAAGACTGCAAACCAAAAAATGTATGCACGCCCTCTTCTTCGCGCAGATGTGGACCAAAGTCTTCAAACCTCTTCAGACATCTTCTAACCTAAAAAACACATATACTTTTGTTGTTTTTTTTTTCTTTTTTTAAACTTAGATTTATTCCAACTTTATCTATGATAAATAAATTGAAAAAAATATTACAATATTTAAAGAAAAAAAAAGTTCGATAACACAATCATGACATTTGTGACAAATTTATAAATAAATATGTAACATCCATAAAATTCGAGCCAATTTAAAACTTTTCAAATCATTTAAAAAACCATTCAGTTATTACAATTTGTTTTCAAAATAGTTTAAACATCAGAGTTCCCAGAAATCATAATCATCAATCGAGGAAGTGTACGTTCATGCCTTCACCTTCCCGCGGTCATCCGCTGAACTTGAAACAATAAACTGAAACTGTAAGCCCGAAAGCTTAGTGAGTTACCCCCAAAATACTCATACACAACAATATGTTGGATTAGTGTCTAAGTCCATAACTATTTTGGTATGTACTTGACCCGATGGTGCATGGTCCTTTTGGGTTGCCTTCACCAAAGCAACTTGATAGGATGAATTATGGAGAGAGAGGATTAATTATAATTTATTAATATATTATATTAATAATATATTAAAGTAGAAATCATATTGTTTAATTAATATTGGTCAATAATTAATTAAGAATTAATTTTATGGCTAAAAGGGATTAATTAAACTTAAGGGACTAGAACTGTCAATTGTGTTATAGTTGAATATTGGGCTATTGGACTCCTTATTAGAGGAGTGGACGAATTCTATGGGGAAACCCATTAGAAATCGTTCAAGGCTTCTAAAGGAGGAGTCAATGGGTTGCTTAGGGCCTAAGCAGTCAAATTAGGGTTTCCTTGTTAGATAACCCTAATAGCCTCACTATTTAAGCACCCCTAGGGCACCAAAAACGTGGCTATCTTATTCCTTAGGGTTTCTAGATGTTTTTGAGCGCCTCTCCTCTTCTCCTTCTTCATCCTCTTGCTCTTGGTGTTTGTGAGCCATTAGAGGAGTGACATTTGCGACTCTAAGCTTTTCAGAAGCCAATTACAACAAGGAATAGATTGTTATTGCTACATAACAATCAAGGTAAGATCTAAACCCTATTCTTATGTTTATATTGATTATCACATGCTAGATCTAGGGTTTATGGCTTTGGATGATTATTGCATGTTCATTAGACAAACTAGATCCAAAGCTTTAGGGTTTGCATGTACACCATAGGAATGTTGTAGTGCTCAAAACCCATCAGTGGTATCAGAGCACAGGGTTGTTTGTTAATGAATTTGATACTTAATTGATCGAAAATTGCTTAAAAATTGATTTTTTTTGGTTCTGACTGCTAGACTCGCCGAGTCACTTGGTGAACTCGCCGAGTCGGCTGTACTCGACGAGTCAAAGGGTCTGGCAGCTTATTTTCGCGATTTACTTGCTGTTTTGGCTTGGGATACTTACCATAAACGTTTTTAATTAGTAAAATCCGTTTTTTATTGATTTTGAGTGAATATCCTTACCAAAATAGTTGATAATTACCATTTAATCAAATATGTGTTGCCTTATAAGATAATGTTTAATTATTTTAGTTATTTGGTGAATTATCTTGCAAGTAATTGGACTAGGTCAAAATTAGATAACCATAATTAATTGTTAATTGCCTTATTTGAATTGTTGATCTAGAATGTTCTTGATAAAGTTTGGAAAAGTTTCATTTTTCACCCTTTAGGTTTTATAGTTTAAATTTGAACTTTAAAAGTTTTTGTTTTGAAATTTAAATAGTTGAACCTTAATATTTTGAAAGGTTTCAAAACTTTCCCTCAAGTTTTGGAATTTAAATTTTGATTAAAAGTTTAATTTTTTAAATTCTAAAACCCTAGTTTTGAAAAAGTTCAAATTAAACCCTTATGGTTTTATTAAGTTAATTAATAGTATAATTAAAAGAGAGTTAATAAATCCATAATGATATGGTTTATATTTAATTAAATTAAAAGTGTAATTTATAAAATTAAACCACCTAGTATTTTAAAAGTGTAAAATACACCCTATACTATATATAACATTAAAAGTCTAATATTATATATGTATAACTTAAACTGCTAGTCTTACCGTTAGTAGGCCTCATTCACGAAGCTGGTCTATAAGGGGTGTTTAAGGAAATTGCCTATAATATGGCGATTGAATGGGTATCCACTCTTACCCACCGCACTCTTGACTAGTGGAGGGTCGTTAGCCGAACAGGTAAGATAGAGCAAACCCCTCTCCTCATTAAAAGTATAATGAATAAAGTAACTAAATGTTTTACTAAAATCCCAAATCTTAGTTACTTTAGGAAAAAGTGAAATCGATGCAATTCCATGGAATTACACTTTGTACCCTTATCGAGACAATTAGTGGAGCGTGTGTGGTTGACCGACACACTAAGTTGGGTTTGGCATTGGTAGCGAAGGATGACTCGATGTTTGTGATAGATCGATGGAGCGTGTGTGGTTAACCGGCACATCGATTAGGTGATTATAACATTGAGGGCACCACGTACATTCACATGGTTATTCACACCTTATTTGTGATCCTCGGCATCCCAGTCACAAATGAAGGGCATAATCAAGATTAAACATGACATTGAAAAATTCAATGAATCTCAAAAGATCTAGGAGTTTCAACTCATTTAAAACTTAACCTCCTTTTCGTTTTTCATGGTGGAAATTGGTAAATCGTCATTTACCTACCTTCAAATGTTCTGCGAGTTGGATTACGGCATCCCTCTTCCAATTTGTAGGATATTGTGTTGGGTCCTAGCCTTAATATCTCATTTGGGTGTTTTATTAAGGACTCAATCAACTAAACTTGAATTTTCTCCCGTTTCATAGATGTCAAAGTCTGATAACTATGGTCTTCCTAAATCCGTTGGAAAAAGGGTTTTCCATGTGAAGATGATGTTCCACGATTGTATTGTGGAAATAGAAATCATGCTTCATTTCCTCCACCTCCTCCAATAATTCTCCCTGACCCACGTGTTCGAAGACTTGAAAAGTTCAAGGTCATTCAAGCCCTATTGGCAAAAGACATGAAAATGGAAAGTCTATATGTGCTAATGTCTTGGATAAAAGGTTACATATTGATAGATTGGGATTGTTAGGTGTCGATGTTTAAAGGAAGTTGGCTGTTGACTTGGTTCTTCAGTCAATTCCCGAATCATATAGTAAGTTCGTAAGAGAGTACTATATGATGGAACACGACATGACACTTATTGATTTGACTTATTTGCTTATTGCTGTTGAATCAGAAATGATTTGGCGCACTGGTCAGCAAATTTGTCTGGTAAGTCAATATCCCAACCCTCTATGGGCGATGGTAACATTGGAAGTCCAGAAAAGTTTTCTCTACGCAAGAGAAAGGTTGAGTCTGAGATAGTCTTGTGTACCATTCCATAAGAATCCATGTATTTCTACTGCCAAAAAAAAGGGGCATTGGTTACGAAGCTGCCCT